TCTATAGAAGACATTTTATACACATTTGTGGAATTATTGTACCTTGTACAGTAATATACAGGATCAATTGTATATTATTATTGTTATTTTTTTTTTTTTTTTTAGTCCAACATTGTTCATGTCGTGCTAACTATATTGCCAAATAAACTGGAAGTACTGTAGCTTATTTCTATTAAAAGCCAAATTATATTCTATTATACTTAATGTAAACAGTCAACAGAATACAATTTTGTGAAATTAAATTGATCATGCTATAGGTATACCTACGTAACATTGTAACGTGTGTGATTTGGGAACATTATCCATATTCTTATAATAATTTAAACCTATAGTTATATTATGTAGTATTATATTTTATTATAATTTTTAAAATAAAATATAATTTTAATTTAAAAATGTATTCCTGTTTATTACATTATCACACATTGTTGTTGTGCCTTAAATACAAAAAAATACGTTTTTGAACGAATATTATTTATGTAAATGAAAAAAGTTTAACTCAATCCGTGTTGTGTTTGTTAGGTAAGACTAATAGATTAACATTAATATATCAAAAATACATAAACAATATTTTATATGAGACTTAATTATTTATTAATCATAGTCATTATATTTTATTAAATACCTACTTTAATAAAATTAGACCGTTTCTCGACAATATTATGTCCTCTAGATGTCATCCGCCATAAATAATATATATATATGTGTGTGTGTGTGTGTGTGTGTGTGTGTATAATATCCCTTTACATAATATTTTTCCCACATCGAGTTTGTCACCTCTGCGCTACTCCTCACTGTCCAAAGTAAGTGAACCCATCAACAAATTAACGAGACACCCTAACCTATTTCATAACCTACTTTATTCATGGATGAACCTTTATAATTGACTAAAATAAAAACAGTGGTTCGAAAAATTATATTAACAGTAGCTCTACAGCTTAAAGTTTAAAATGTTTATGAATGTATATATTGTAATGATCGTTTTAATTATAATTATAAACTAATGTAAAATAGTAATTTATCATTAAAATAGTATATTATATATACCTAATTGGTATATTTATTTATTTATTTATTTATTTATTTATTTATTTACGGAATAAATCCATTTACAATATACTAAAGTATATTATAATATATAGTATCTAAACTATATTATATATTATGATTATTTTAGTTTCTAAAATGTTAATGATGATATGATAATCATAAAAATAAATGTAAAACACGGAATACCTATACCTATATATTTACAACTTATTAATCAAAACAATAATATATATATATATTATATATAATTTGTAATAAATAAGTAATAAATATTTTTTATACAAACATTGTAAAATTATTTATCAAAATTCAAATTTCAATTATAGGCTGAATTTTAATACAGCTACTTTTAAACATATTTCTTATTAATTTGCATTGAGGAAAAATTGTAAAACCACTCTATTAAATATGGTTTTTTAGCATGCGATAATAATTACTTAAAAATATTAAATGGAACATAAAATATTTATAGGTACATATTTCCCTGTGAACTGCGGTGAGGCCAAAACTGTGACCGGTTCAAAACGTGGGGAGAATGGTTTTTTTTACGTATAGACCCCTCCTAATAGTCTTATTGAAAACTGAACATTGCCCGCATGTTTAAACGTCGATTAAAACTGATGAAATAAATGGCTATTAAAGATCATTTCTGGTGTCGAGCATGTTCACACATAGCTGAAATGTGGACATAACAGTGTGAACGTTTGTATCTAAATGTCTATAAAATGTTTATCAAAAGTCCGTCAAAATTGTCTTATTCAAATGTGAATGTGTATAAATTATTAAAAATTCGGAATACTTTACAAGCTATATTAAATCATGTAAGTAATTTACTTGGTAAAATAATATAACAATATAATACATAAATAACTGACGTACAATAATATATAATATATCGTACATCATTATGTATTCACATGCACAATAACCAAACGTATATTGTTGTATTAATCAATACAACAAAATAAATGCATTTTATAGACTTACACAATTTCAAAACGTAGATTTAAAACATACTAATTTTAGTTTGAAATAATACAAGGCATTTTTCACATGTAGTAAATCAAAAGGTTTTATCAAAAAACGATGATTATTTAATATAATTTTTTTTATTCACAACCTGCCGATTTGATTTTCAAATAAAAATCCATATTTTTCAGTGCTATGTAGTGCGAATGTAATTTAAATTATTGGTGTTTCGTTATTTTAATTCTCGACGAAAATTATATATTACGTATAGTACTGCTAGTACAAGGCTAGGTCCTAATATATTACTTTGTCTATAATAAATAACTGTAAGTATCAATTATTTGAATGCATAACGTAAAAAGAAAGGAACCTACGATCAGAATAGTTTTTTATAATGAAAAATTAATATTATAAACCACCACTGTCCTGTAGTGAATTATTATAGCGAAACAATTTGATTGTCTATCAAACAGTACTTAGGTACTTGATTCTAAAGTCTATTTTTAATATTCTGCTTATTTTTATCATAAACTAAATATTACTATAAGAGTTTTATTCTGTCTAAAATTACTATAGGTTTTGGTACACAATTAAAAGATAGGTTCGTTGTTCTAATGTAAATACCTGTATAATAATATTGCCAATATTGGTTCACATTACTTATATAAGTACTTACTTAAAATTATTATCAACTGAAAGAAAATAAACAATAATATTAATTAACAGTTTTTATTTTTATGGCAAATTAATGATAGGTAAATACTACAAATACTAAATAGATAGCATTGTATTGGACTAAAAAAAAAACAGGTGTCCCGTAAACTCGTCGCGTGACAATTTATCGTGAGGAAGTTCATCGTGATAACATTTCTCCCGAGTCGTCTTTTATTAAAAATAAAAATTATTAAATCAGAATTATTCACTCTACTATATTAATAAATAATAATACACTAAATTAAATACTAACGATAGTTATTTTATTAATTGATAAATACAACTGATTGTACTAACATGCCAAGTGCATTGAACATATTGAAAATTATTTAGGTTGTAAATCGTGTATGATTGACTTTTAAATGGCTTCACCTAATGCAACAAAAACAGTTTTTCCGCGATGGACTTTTTCTAATCTGTTTGGAGTACAGAAAATACTTCAATATTCAACGAAAATGGTGGTCTCGAGTTGGTTCTAGTTGGTACTAGGGAGTCGGAATTTGGAAACTCCATGTACTTTTCTTAATACTTTAGGAAAAACTAACAAAAAACTGGAATATTTATGAGACATCAGTTTTTGACGACATCGATTTTGTTTTTATTCTGGTATAATTTAGAAAGGAATAACCGTAAGGACGTGAAATTGTCTACACATTTATTTTATCAGTTTGGCTTTTTTATAGTCTTTATAGATGTATCGTCAATATTTTTAAGTTGTTTACAATTCATGCTGATAAAAATGTTGTATTTCAGTCCAACAGCTTGACAATTTAATACATGGTCGTTATTCTTATAGAAGTTAAAAATATCGTAAATATGCATCGGCACATTTTTTTTAAGTGTTTAAAGTTCAATTTTTAAAAAAAATTGGATATTCAAACAAAAAGTAACGGTTTTAGTTTTGTTGTTGTAATTTAAAAATATAAAACTTAGAGACTTAAAACATTTCGTCAAGGGGTATATTATTATTATTTTTTACACAATAAATTTTCAAAGTATTTAGGTTCATTTAAGATATCTCGAATAGATTTATACCATTCTACGGTAAGTCGGTATTAAGATATAATATAATGCAAAAGCTTACTGATAATAAGTCAAACATCACATTTTTTAAGTAGAAAAGCAAATAACTAATAGTAATATGAATACATTATAAAATAGCCTTAAAAATATAGGCTAACACATAACCCCGACAAGGTATTTCCGTTCCTTAAAATCGTTTTTTATAGGTACCTACTAAGGTAACTATTATACAAATATGATTACAATATATACCTACTCAATATTTTTTTGTAATAAACGATGAACTAAATTGATGATGAAATTATCCACGATATAGATTGTCGAATGATAAATGTAATACGAAAAATTGACGCCCGTACAACATTTATCACTAATCGAAATTCAATAATTTCAGATAATTACTATACATTTGAGAATTTTTAATATTATCATAAAAATAGCAAATTATTAAAAGCAAAAGTCGATTTTATTTGACTAAAACGTACTTACATTAATGTTTTAATTTAAATTTAAATTTTAGAAATCATTTTAGTGCCTATCCTATACCTAAACCGACCAAATTTTGAAATGTACCAAAAATGTTTTAAGTACCGTGATAACCTCATGTGTTGTCTCTGTCTTACAAGTGCGTAACATTAAAAATTCTACCCAAAGCAGAACACGCGCAACTCCGTTAGTTTAAAAATTAGAGTGAAAAAATTAAAAAAGGTAAGATTATTATCTAGATAACCTCATGGGCTTTTTATTATATTTTAATTTTAAAGCGAGCTATGAGTATTTTAAAATTGTAATTTTTTTGTACATTTTAAAGTACTCATAACTCACTTAAAAATTAAAATATAATAAAAAGCCCATGAGGTTGTCTAGATAATAATCTTACCTTTAGATTTTATAAGAGGTCAATTTACTCTAATTTTTAAATTAACGGAGATACACGTGTTTTGCTGAGCGTAAAATTTGCTATGTTATGCACTTGTAAGACGCAGACAACACATGCGGGTATCACGTTCTCTTAAGATCTTTTTTATGACAATTATTATCGTTATTAAAAAAACAGTATTGTATTTTCTTATGACTTGGTAAAAAATTGTGGATAGTAAATAAAAATACATATATCAGTTACGTATATCAGTTGACTATTGTCCTAAGAAATAATATAACTTCATTTTTGTTTTAGTTTGAAAATTATGAAAATCATATATATTTTTATTCAGTACTTCATTAAGTGATTATAATTGATTACAATGTCAAGCTCAAACCAATCAATGGGATTCGAACCGTCAGTATATATTCACTATTGTTATTCACTAGTCACTATACCATCATCATGTATACAATTATAAGGTAAATTTTTTCAGATGGCTAAAAGAGAATCAAACAATTAGGTACGCAGCGGCGTTCATAACGTTGCTTATTATGTGTATCGGAATCGTAGGTAATAGTTTGACTATATTAGTAATACTAAAAAGTCCACGGATTCGAAATGTAGCTTCTGCATTTATTATCAGGTAATATATAAAAATTAATAACTATCTATTATTATTATATGGATTTAATCATTGAGGAATAATTCAGTCAATTCAGAAGAAAAATAGTTTATTAGGAAATATAATACATAAACTGTAAAGGATAAACCAGTATGGATAACATTGAATTGAGTCCCAAATATTGAATTGAGTCCAGCAAATACTTTTGGGTTATCGGAGTTGAGTCCGACCAATATTTTTAGGTTGTTCGAGTTGAGTCCCTTCAGCCCATTACCGTTACCCAGAAGACACCACGTGGAGGTTAGCTGAGTAATCTCCAAAAAAATTGGTGTGATTGTTTTTTTTTAATCATAATAATAATGATAATAAGTATAAAGAGTTAATTAATTAAAAAATATTAAAAATAATAATTTTTATGTATGATTGTATAGGTACACTGTTTTTTTTGTATCATATAAAAAGTAATAAGTATAAAGAGTCAATTAAAAATAACAATAATTATGTGTAATATAATAATGTTAATAATGAAATAGTTGCTAGTAAAAATTTAAATGATATATATTTTAAAAAGTCAAATCTGCCAATTTGCATATTAATGTACATATTTGTTTGTCTGCTCCCGTAAAAAATTTTCTTTTTCTAATGGTTTTTACATGGTCTCTTTGCTTTGCTTCTAAGTTTTATATATGTATCGGACTGTATTCACAGAAGAGTGTCCACAAGAATAAAAATGTTTGGATGTCCCATGAATATCCATTATCGTTGCGTATCCTGTATAATATGATGACATGAATTCACTTGATGTTATGACATTTTATCTATACGGACTCAATTCAAAGGTATTAAGATAATACCTTGGACTCAATTCAAACACATAAAAGTAGCATGGACTCAATTCAATATCACCGACCAGTATAGTATATCCCAACCAGTGATTTTAAACAAAATGAATAATAGTGTACAAAATATAATATAATATACTATATTATTATAAAAATACAAAATTTGTTTTTATGCAAGAACTTATGAAATACAAATAAAAAATAGTATAATTCATAAATGCAGCGTTACAAGGGTGGAATAGTGGGGGTCAGATTCCCTCCCTTTAGTTTTGGAGTTGATTATCTTCATATTGTGTTTGATGTGAATTTCAATAATTCAAATTATATTCATTGTTCCTTATTGTTAAATATTTTACTACCTAAGTAAAAAGTTTTAAAAGGGTGGGGGATTTTCCAATATTTTCCTCCCATTTAGCTATGTCATTTTCTTTTTTCATCCCCTCTCCCTTTCAGAAATCATGTCTACGCCACTGTAACTTAATGATCGATATGTTTGTTCATCATAACTTCGATGCATATTATAGTCATGCAGATACCAATTTTATTTTACAAAAAAAAAAAAAAATGAGTTTTATGATATTTTTTGGACCACTTTTTTGATATACCTACTTAAAAAAATTGAATTAATATTCAATGCCTTTCTATTATTGTTTGATATAGTACATAAATTATATTTCGTAAGTAATCAATGAATAATAATTTACACTTGTTCAAATACATTTACAGTTTTATAATATTGGTTTGTAGTCCTGCTAACTTTGGATATTTGCAATATTTAAACTTGATCATTATTGTTATATTACGTTAATTATTATTCGTATTTAATTTTATGCTCATAAGTTAATAGTTTATTATTTTAATAATTATTTGATATGAAAAACTGTGACTTAATATAGGTATATACATAATACTACAATAGAGTGTTTTCAGTTCTCCTTGTTTCGTTCATGTCATATTTTTCTTTAATAATCTTTTGTACACATACTTTTTTATTTAAACTATTAATTTGTTTATGAGTAATTATTGTCATTTCACTATTATAATATTATTCTCTCATTGTATAATATACGTAAATAGTACTATTTAATCCCTTATACGTTAACTGAACAATTTTAATGGATGAGTTGCTTTGTTAATTTCTACAGTCTAGGTGCAGCTGATTTGTTATTCTGCATAGCCGTATTGCCATTCAATGCTTCAAGATTCTTAAATATTAATTGGGTACAATACCCAATACTATGTTCAATGGTACCATTTTTCCAGTACGGAAATATCGGTATATCACTGCTATTTATTACTATGATAACCATAAATAGGTAAGTAAATTAGTATATTAGGTATATATTAACACCTAAATGTTGATTATTTTAAATTTAATGGGTTTTTACTTATGTAAGATCATTTTATTAACAATTCGTTCAATATAAACTAATGCAAGCAATTTTACATTTTTATAAATAATAAAATTATTTATTATTTATTTAAGTATATATTTAAAGTCCTAATAAAAAATGCTATGTAGGTATTACAAATTTCCAAATATATAATTTACTTAAAAAAAAAACTAAATAGAAATACTTTAATAAATACTACCATCCAACGAAATCTATTATACTTAAAATGTATGAAAAAAAGTTAGATTAAACCTTTAAACTATTTATTGTTAACACAAACTAATTTTTGACAAGTCAACTATACCATTCCTATTAGTTTTTTTAGTGAACTTTTAGGTAAGATTGATGTAATAATTGTTAACATTACCGATCATAGTTTTAATTATAATTATTAGTACAGTTAAGTTATTCATACATAGATTTTAAATAATCTAGACAATACGTAGAGGTACATCATACATAAACTCAATAGTCAATGTTAACACTCATCTGTGTGGTATGACTTAATATGAGTTATGAATTATGAATATAGGTACATTTAAATGCTAAGTTACCGCATTAAAAAAAAACCCCTTTAAGAGGATATCTGTTTGCTATAAATTATTGTGTGAATAAGAATATAAAAAAAAAATTAAGTTACCTACACATAAGAATAATTCAATTAATAAACAAACAAATTAAAATTAGATTAATCTAATAATTTATGGAGCTACTGACCGAATTGCTCAACCAGGACCCCAAATCTATCTCCACCGGTATCAAATTCACCATTACTACCAAATTACTCAACCAAAATGAATATCACATTAAGTCATAATTGTACTGTTATAACCATTTAACTTTTTTTTAATCTTATACAATTAAATATAATATGTAAATCAACCTCAATGGTCACGGTACCTACAAAGGATTATGTCTGAAAAAAAATTGTAAGTTCACTTCCATCGAAAGAAACAAAAAAGAAAAAAAATAATATAAATTATGTAGAATTTAAGAAAAAAATTAAATTACTTATATTATTTTAAATTAAATAACGGAATTATTTTTAGTACATTTTTTTACGATGGTTTTTATTTAGCAAAAATGGAAATAAATAAGTACATATTGGTTTAGGTACATATTATCATTAGAATTACTTCAATTTATAATAATTGAATAAATTAAATGAGTCAATATTCTAGATCAGAAACGTTATAGCTCTCGTTCTCGAGGTTTGGAATATCGGAGGTTAGGTTAGTTGTGACCCAGATGATAAAGCCAGTATGAAGCAATATTCTGGATAATGATACGGGCCGATGACAAAATGTTTGCGTTACTGGGGTGAGGGACTGTTATATGATCGCAAAGGGACTGGTGATAATAACTATAATAAAATACAAAGTGGCAAAAGGTTGCTCACATAGAATTCGAAAGCTCAGGAACCGTGGGTAGACGATACAGATACAGTCATACAGACAGAATCACTAATATAATCTAAGACTGACAGTATAATACATAATATACAAATTTTGTAACAATATTGAACTATACCTAAAAGCAATGATGACATATGAATAAACGTGCAAGTTCTAGAAACAGACAATTATGGCCATTGTTGACAACAAGGAATTTTAATTAATCGAGATCATATGTGGAGACAAATATAATTTAATATCTTTTGAATACCTATTACACTAAATTATTTTAATAATTAATATCATAATACATCATATGCATTTTTAAGCAATATTAAAAATTTCAAATAACATTATATTTAATAACTGAGATTTAGTTTGCACCTAACAATTGATGTACTAAAAATTACTGAATGATTATTTTAAATCAACACTCATTATCTCAAAAAGTATTAATATTTATGAAAGTATTTTTTTATATTATTTCAATTCAAAACTAACCATATTTATAGAAAAAACTTGTATTGAACTTATAAACAGTTAAACAGTTAGTTACTAATATTTAAAGTGTATAAAAGAGTGGAGTAGGTAGTGGAATAATATTTTGCAATGTACTCCTAGCTGCGTGTCCCTCCACTCATCAACACATTAAATACTTATTAACTATAAATAATTAACAGCTCTTTTTAAATTCAAATTTTGTAAATCAAAATTCTTTGAAAAACATTATGTTCGGATTATAAAATTAAAAATGTATGATATGTTTTCATTCAAAAAAGTTAAAACTTAAAAAATGATAGGAAAATACAAAACAAAGGAAGATTGTTTTTCTTCAAATATGTTGTTTTTTTAATTAATTATGATAAAATTATGTAAAAAAATATTTTTATAAAAGTAAATATGGTTCGAGATAATGAGTGTTTACTACTAAAATAATTCAATCAGTATAAGTGGCAAACTAAATTTTAGTTATTACACTTGTTACTTAGTATGCATTCAATAAAAAAATATTTAATTTAGGTATATAATGATCGTTCATTCAAGCTTGTATAGTATAGTATATCGTCCAATATGGATAACTTCCATGATAATACTTTGTCTAATTATTTCGTTTGGCATGCTGGTACCTACCCTTTTAGGTAAATGGGGTATGTATTTGATAATATTATAAATTGCCTACCTAAATTGTAATATTTTATAATTATATTTTTTTTAGGTAAATTTGAAAATGATCCAAAGTTGGGTTCATGTTCAATAATATCAGATGAATCTGGTCGATCTTCGAAATTTGCCCTTTTCATCACTGGGTTCATCATACCGTGTATTGTAATTGTTTGCTGTTATACTAGTATATTTTGGGTTGTCCGTAAGTAAGTAAATTCAAATATAAATTCACTTTTATACAATAAACCAAAACAAAGGTTGTTCAAATTTCTTTATACTATGAGATAAGATAATGCATTTAAAAGGAATACCTAGACTATATTGTTGTAATGCTATTTCTATGACTATATTTCATTATGTTGTGTATCTACTTGTAACTTGTGTCACAGCTAAATAATTTTAAAACTTTGAACATTTCTAATAAATTAATGATCATATGATGAATATATTATTACCGATATTAGATATATTATATTAGTATTAAATATTTATATAATATGTAACCTTTATTATTTTATCAAGCTATACCTAATGCTTAAAACGGTAAATATTTTTTTTTAAATAACATTGTCACACAACTACCTAAAAAATTTTCGATATTCAAATTTTAAATTTTTTAAAAATAATGTTTAAAGCATGGTATATTTTTTACTTATAGTAAAATAACCTAAAACTTACCTAATACCTCAATAGACATTTCTCGTAAAAATCTAAAATGATTTATTTAATTTATTCGTGTATTTTTTCGGTGCTTGTACATAACATATTTATAATAATAATTATTATTATTGATAATGAAATTTAATTAATATTTATTCACAGGTCAGAACAACGAATGCGAAGACATCAATTATCTACCCAAAGTGATCCAACAGTAACAAATATGCAGTCTATAAAAAGAAAACTTAGTGAATGGAGGATAACTAAAATGGTGTTGGCTATATTTTTATCATTTGTACTTTGCTATTTACCAATTACAATCACAAAAACCTCAGATCCAGATGTTCAATACCCAGGTAAATAGTTAAAAACAAAATACATAATATAATATATAAATTTGATTGCAAAATCATTTCGTGTACTTGCTTAGATTTTCTATTCTCTCTACCGCAATCTTCATTCTAACTATATAAAATTATATTTATATCCTTATACCACAGTAAATAATATCAAACATATTTTCAAATTACTTTACGAATATTAATATAAATCTATGAAATTTCTGTGAGTATAATACCTATATATTATACTATACAGTGTGTAACAGAAAGAACTGACCACAAAAAAATAAAAAAAAATAGATGCTACTTAAGAGTATGATCAAAAATTGTTAAAATTATATGATTATAAATATACCCATGTTAGCAAATTTTCAAAATTAATATTTTTAAAAAGTTATTGCGTACCAAATTAATTTAATCAAAAAAATATTGATATTTGAAAAAATTCTAAAAAATAAACTACCTACTTGATTTAGATAAATGTTTTTACCATCCAACTCGTTCTTGTAATCAGATTCACAAATTGGCTGTTTTGAATTTATTCAAACAATTTTAAATTAAATTAAAATTGTTTTTATTTTCAGTACCTATTAAAAAATTTAAATATATTTTTTTTTATTACACGAGTAGCGCAAGTGGCTATAAATTATATATAAAAAAAAAAATTTAAATATTGATTAGAACAAAAGTTATTCCAAAAGTCAACTCTATCTGTTTATTTAAATATTTTATAAGTATATCAATTATCAAACATACAATATTGATAAAAGATTTCAATAGATACATGTTTAGAGGCTACTTATCTACACAAATATGCAACTGATAGGTTTAATACAACAATACGTCAATACGTAGGTAAAGAATGATCAAATTAAATAAAGTAACATTAAATTTTAGTTGCATTATTATTTTGTGTGGAGGTAATAATTAGGTATGCTCAGTAGCGAGGCTCGAGGTTTTTGGTTGGGGAGACACGGGAAAAAAATGGCACTATAATACGCCTAGACCCCCCCTTTTTTTATACGGTTAGAAATAAATGTTCAAAAACTAAAAACGAACTGAAATATCATATTAAATAAATTAAAACGTTACACCTTCCTTTAAATGATAATTTGAAATACATAATAACAAATGTACACATTTTTTTTTTCGTATGAGTACTTAGTGTTAATAATTCAAAATGACATTAATTAAATCATCAGCCATGGGCCATGAGGACAAATTACAGTATAAAACAATAAAATATTAAAAAAACACGTACGACGCACCTATCACGATAGCGTGACAATGTGACGGCGACGTCGATAATAAATATTGAGTAGGTACCTACTGAGGTAATTACGAACGGCGAGACGCGTCTCATAGCGTAGATAGTAAACCCCACTCACACTAGCATTCCCCTGTACCCGCGCGACCATAATTGCGAGACGTTGCGTCTCAACGTCTATTAGATATAATACCTTATTTTGAATAACCCGTATGACCGTATATTGCGCACATATAATCTATTTTAAGAATTATATAACTGTACAACAAAAAACCGATTTCAACAAATATTGAAACATACCTACCTTAAAATTAAAATTCACGTTTGTAAATATTATATAAATCTAAATAATTATTTATTCGTTCCGTGTTCTAATTTGAAATTTCTAAGTGTGGAGACGTTGTCTCTTTGTCTCCTATGACGCTTTGCCACTGGGTATGTTACGTGTTATTACAGTAATTCTGAAAATAATTATCCTAGAATTGTTTAGGCTTAACATTCTCACCCCTAATTATTTAGGTAATATTTATGTAATACATAAATTATAAATAAATATGTTGTTTATTATGTTACATGTAATGGATCTATTGGGATTTATTAATAGTTTAATTTATGCCGGACCCTCCTATAAATCTTCGAAATTTAAAAGATATTATAATAACAGCAACATGCAATTAACTGACTGAAGAACAAATTTACAAATTATTAATAAATTCCAATAGATCCATTTATTTATGTATCACCTTAATAGTTTACAAAATGCATTATTTATTTTTATTTTTATTTTTATTTTTTTATCACAATAAGGTATTCCTAGACAGTTGCTATCTATACCTAGAGATGAAGGTTAATTAATACATAGTAAAATTCATTATTAAAATAGTTGTAGGTATACAGATAGTTAAAAGTGGCAAATAAAAATAGAATAGACTACATAGCATTATTGGCATAACAAAGCATACGGTGTAGTGGATGGTTATTACCGTAGGAGGTGGTGAGAGTGGGGATGTGAAAGGGTGTATGATGATGCCTTGAGGAGTAAGATGGGACACGGAAATTAATGGAGGAAAGAAGATCTGGGGTATCTATTGATCCATTTAGTAGGCCTTGAATAAAGCGGAAATCAGCATCAGTTATAAATTATATACAATTTTAATGACACATTCCTATGTTAAATGTTGAAAGGAAACATTTTTGTTCATGTATTTTGCCCCAAGATTGACACAATAGGTTCAAAATTAGTTTTTCGGCAAAGTTAAAAAACTGCCCCAAAATACTGTCTTTCAAAAGTATAACTTGGGACAGCCACAAAAAAAAAATTATAAAATCAAGAATTAAGTATACAAGTTTAAATTAAAATCCATATTAAATTATAGACTAAGAGACAACTTTTGATATGCCTACTGGCTCCATACAATAATTATTAATTAATAATCAAAAAATAAATTAAACTGCATCTAAAAATTAAAATATTATGTATTTATATACATAGCTAAATATAATATTTTCTATTTAATTTAGCTCTTCTCTTGATTGCATATATTATGGTTTACGCGTCAGCATGCGTCAATCCAATCATATACGTCATAATGAATAAACAGTACAGAAAAGCATTTGAATCAGTTCTAAGTGTTGGATGTTGTGAAAAAGCTACAAAACGAGTACCTGTTTTGAGATCCATATCGAAACGTCTACAGCCACACGGTAACTTGACATCATCAACTGGCATGCGAACAATAAGCCCGGGTTAAGGGAGAGTGCCTTAAGATATTGGACTGTTTTTAGGAGCTTCAAATTCTGCAATAGGTACATTTTCCTTTTAGTATCGCTTAAGATAAAAATTAAAAATCAATATTGAATTGATTTATAAGAAAATGGTTCTAAAAAACATAGCATTGATATTACATAGATGCTCTATTGTCGTTTGTTTATTGAGATTTTGTATTCATAACAATTTTATTTTTTGGCTTTTCAATAATTATTTTACACTTTCAAAAAATTTAAAAAGAAACACAAATTCATACAAATAAATTAAATTGAACTATTCCAAGTTTAAATTGTTTTTCTGAAAAATTCGAAAAAATTACAATTAATTCAGGCCCGGTAATCAAAACTGCTCTCTTGTGAATATTGGTAATATATGATATCCAAGTAATAATGTTACACAAGCAATAAATCATTATAAAATAGAAAGAGAATTTTCGAAAAGAAAAAAGTGATTAAAATGGATATAATAATATGTATTCTGACTTGATATTTTTTAATATAATATTAATATTATGGATCATTTTTCACTTAGAGAGATCATGAAGTATCTTAATCCGGGCTTGCATGCGAATTGTGCAAATACACTAATCACATATTTTGTTATAAAAACAAGATATTATTCCTCTATGTATGATGTTTTTTAATTTATGGTAGTTGGTATTACTCCAAATTAAATTGTCATAAATGTCTAAATTTGGGTGATGGTCGTTTGGGTGAGTGTAATAATTTTGATAACATTTATTAACAGTATGTTTGGGTGACTCGTGTATACTAAATAAAAGCAATCAACTGAATGAAATTAATTTTCCCTCCATGAGCGATACCTATAGACTTTGATGCCATGACGCCATGTGATTTAATTTAATTCATTTTTTACTTTAGGTATATTACTATATTTAAATATATCTGTAACTACCTAAAGTAATACTCCTAGAAATAGTAATATACTAATATCTTTTTGTTAGAGTCCATATTGTTAATAATTAATTATGTGTATTGTAAGTGATTATTTTGCCAATATAAAAAAATATAATATTGACAATGTATATTACCATATAATTATAAACTGGTTTATAACTACTATACATAAATATATTCCTAATACATTAGTAGGATGTACCTTTATTGTTTTTATAAATTAGGGAAAAATTTATTTGAATTTACATATTTATTTATAATATTATTCAACTCATGTTCAGACATTTCTAATGTGAGACACCTACTCAATGTTCTCCATTCTCACCGCCTCATATTGTATTCCACATTTCCACTCATTTACTTATTGTATTCACTTGTATAGATTGTAAATTTTCATGAAATAAACAAATTAAAAAAAATATATTATTATTAAAATACCTAATTTTCTCATTTTTATTATAATATGATCTATTCATGATGTACAAAATATTTTAAATTATGATTAACCATATTGATTTAAGATATTATTTTAAAATATAACAAGAATAATATAATCGAAGTACTTTATACAGTTTAATAGTATTATTATTTATTAATAATGTTGGTTTGTCTGAATTATGTATTATTTTATAAATTATGAGTAATAGAATACAGCTTCAGCATTTCAAAGAAACTATATATATGTATAAGCATCATCCTAATTCCTTGAATAGTAGATATATTGGTACCTACCATAGATAATATATTCATAGAGTACCTAGATAGTAATGTAATATATACTTGTGTGTAATAATATAAATAAAACATGTATGATATCAAATATTATATTTTTGAACTAAAAAAGTATATAGGTAGTAGGTACTATAAACATTACATAACTTAAAAGTAGGTAGGTACCTACTTATTAGTCACTTAGTAAGAACCTATTTAATAATATTTATTAAGCTTTGCATACTTACATTTCAGGAAAAAATCAAGAAGACCGTGGATTTGGGACAACTGTATCACATGTGTCATCAATTGCTCTGGAATCGTTGGATTACAATAACAGGGTTTCGAGTATAGCTTAATTGAACATAATTTTACTGAAAAGCATTTTTATATTTTAGGATTTTAAGTACCTATTCTTTTTAATTCAAATAAATGCCTAATAATATATTCAATGAAAATAACAAGAACTGTGCCTAGTACCTATACCAGATATCTCGTTTACAAAATCAAACATTTTTTTTTTTTTTTAGAAATATGTACGTCATTCATATTTTACATAATGTCACAACTCACAATACATAATATTCTCTGGCATGTATTATGGTTACTAACAAATGTATATCATCAATTATAAATTAGTGTTAAAAAGTCTTACAAGCTGCCATATAAGTGAATGAAAAATAAAAATTGTTCCTATAAATATGTCACTATATAAATACTGTCCAAAAGTCCTATACTCATAAAATATTTTTTTTAGTAAAAGTTATGAATATTTTACAAAAATAAAAATAAATGCTGAACTCGGTCTGCTGCATGTTATATAATATATAACATATAAGCTTTGAGTAGGTGTGTGACACACAATTTATTTGAATTTAATGACATACCTACCTATCATTGCTGCATTATACATCTTGTACTGCTATTATAAGGTAAGATGGTGGTGCTATACTTATATTATAATGTATAGATACCTACTTGAGATAACATTTCTGAGCGAAGGATAGACGATCATCTTCAAGCGTTTATCAAAAAACATTGTTTCCATGTTTTTCAATATTTTGAAATTGCCGTAAGAAACTAAGAACAATGTGTAAAGAACTTTAAATTAAATGTTCAAGACTTTGAACTAAAAACAGACATTTATCAACATATATTTTAACAAAACTAAAAAATTCAAAAATGTTAAATGTATATAAATAGCTAAAATATTTTTAAATTAATGGTATGTCTAAATAATATTAATATGTTATGTTATATAAATATTTGGTGAAAATTTAAAGTCTGAGATTATTCCTTTTTCAATTACAATATAATAAAATATCAATTTTTTCAAAAACTGATATTTGAGTGATATAACTATTTTTCCAAAGTATTTCATTAATTTCTCCATATTATTAAGAATGTGCTGAGCATTTCTTTCCTTTCATTCCCAAAAAAGTACCAACTAGATCAAAAACTATACAAAAAAAATAGAGTAGTTGATGATGATTAGAATAATTCTCTTCTCTAAAATGTGATGATGGACAACTTGTTAAACCAATACATTTTTCGCTCGGCTCAGAATCTTAATACATTGGACAAATTACGGTCGATCACCAAAAATCACAATACATAGAGTATAGGCTCAATGTTGTACAAAAAAACCTATGATTAACTAACAGATCATTAAAGTTTAAAAAAATTACATATTTCATAGTATAAAATTGATACATTTCAAAAAATAAATATTGATTGAATTTTTCAGTAATAAATAATACATAATTATAATGTTGTAATAATGATGTTAAAATAAATACAATTTTTCAGTGAAAATAATAATTAATAAAATTAATTATACTCCATAAGTACAAGTTCAATTATTATTCATTCAAATTTATTTAGCTTTATTTTCATAGGTTAATACTTTTAAGATATATTTTTTATAATTATTATATTTTATCGAACCTTATGGGTAGTAACAAATTTAATGAATATAATATAATATACCATGATATTTATTAAAAATTTACATTAATATAAATATAATCCTTATAAACTTTAATTATCAGTTAATGGTTAATCATAAAATTATTTACCAAACCCTGGATATAGACCTCAAGACCTGGACAGCTTTACAATATACAGAATGTAAAATAAAATTTTGTATTTGAACGATTACAATAAACCTTAAATCAAATGTGAATAATTACAATTGAGATTCTAAAGCACACTACATTTTTGCAGCTAGCTACCAATGAACATATTAATTAATTAATGATGTAGTAAACACAAAAACTAAAACTAAAAACGACGAGGAAATACCTATATCTATGATTCGTAACTTTGCTAAAATATTTGAAAAGATAATAAAAAGTAGGTTAATAATTACATTGTTAGAAAAAAAATATATTTTGTCTAGAATCCAGTATAGTTTCAGACCAAAATTAGGTACAGAAAATAAGCTATGTACAATGCAACAAAATTTATTTATGATTGACAAAAGTGAAAAAGTAAAAGGAATTTGTCTGGATTTGGCTATGATGGATCATATGGAACTTACTTCCAATTTTGGAATAAATAAGTCAAGCCTAAAATGGTTTAAATTTTAAAAGTTACCTAGTTGATTGGAAACAAAAAGTCAAAATTAATGGTATTAAGGCTGATTTGTTAATTACTTGTGGAGTACCACAAGGCAGAGTTTTGGGACCAACCAACCTTGTTCATATTGTATATTAATAGTAAATATGTGACTTAGATATTAACGGGCAAGTTTTAAAGTATGCAGACGACACTTGTTTACTTTTTTCTAGTGTAGTACTGACTTTAACTCAGTTTTTAGTTTCAAAAAAGGAGACAAAAAATTAAATTAATATATTTTTAATTATTATTTTTTTTATATATTAAATTTAAATATTTAATCAACTAAATTAAATCATGAACATGCGATCAATCCCTCTTACATTTTGTGAAAGTTAAAATATTTTGACGTATTATTGAAATAGGATATCTATTTAAACATTTTAAATTTGTTATAGTAAATATGTAAATTTAGATTTTGCTTTGTACTTATGTTTCTTAAGATTACCTACTACCTAGCCACCTAGGTTAGTTTTTCAAATTATTATCTAGTAACTATGGAATGTCACTATTATTCGACATTCAAGTTGTAATTCAAATCAAAAATTAATCAAGTGTTCACTTCTGTAATGTGTACTTGCGCACATAATATGTATTGTTTCGTAGATTTGTTACGGTATGATCAGGTTGAAATGTATGCATCGAAGACAATAACATGTAAATACATTTTATTTTATTATTTTATTTATACTAGAGAGTAGAGACAATACTTATATAATAATTATCTAACATATTATTTATGATCTACAATATTAAGATGGTGTATCGAACCTCAAAGAAATCGTAACATAGGTACAATCATAATAAAAAGACAACCGATGTATCACAAACACCTATACGCTGTTCAGATTAAGATTGAACAAGTTTTTTTCGCGCATTCAGGGCACCGGTGGGATCGTATGCACGGCCGCCAGCATCAGCGGCGACGATCGACGACAGCCGGCGATGACTGTCGGCCAATCACAGAACGCATAGCCACCGCATGGGGGGTCAGGCTCTGTTCGGCGGCTCAAGCCCCGTACACTCAAATACTCAATATGATCTGGTCAGGGGCACTCAGGGCAACAGATAGCCTGACCAAATCAGGTGTTGTGTACAGACGACACGACCTCTGCACGACTTGGTCAGATGAATTTTAAGAGGACGCTACACCCGCATGTGTTGTCTCCGTCTTACACACGTACGACATAGACAAAACGCGTTTAGGCAGTCTGAGTATAACTCGCTCAATTTTGGTTCTAGAGTAAAAATGCCTATTATGAAATTGAATTGTGATAATATTTCTAAGGGCAAGACGCTGCGGTTTTTCCATTATACCCAATATAACGTTCATTATATCGTTTAGAAATAGAAAAAATTTCACCATTTTTAAAATACCTTTGACTTTTAAAAAATTAAATTTTTTAAAAAAAACCGCAGCGTCTTGCCCTTAGAAATATTATCACAATTCAATTTCATAATAGGTATTTCTACTCTAGAACCAAAATTGAGCGAGTTATACTCAGACTGCCTAAACGCGTTTTGTCTATGTCGTACGTGTGTAAGACGGAGACAACACATGCGGGTGTAGCGTCCTCTTAATTAATACATCTAAATCGGTCGGACAGTCAGATGGAACATCCACCTGACAAGACTCGATGGGATCAGTCAGATGACACGTCTACACACGAACTGATACGACGTCCGACCTGACCAAATTATCCTGTCGGCCCGACCAAATCATATTGTGTGTAGGGGGCTTCAGTCTGCATGCGGGAAGCCGGTTCAATCTTATCCTGAACTGAGTATATATACACATACCAATAAAAACATTTGTTTTCCCTTGCGTAATCCAAGCGTTCCTTTTGCCCACTCAATCCGGCCATGTGGCGTGAAACGTTGTCAAAAGGACACCCATTTTTCCGTGCGTAAATCAGGCAGTCCATGTGACCGTTGAACGCGGCGCAGCTCCATGTTCCCTTGTCCCACGGGCACCCGTTTTCCCGAGCGTATATCAGGCAGTTACGGAGTGGCCGAGCAGACTAATACCTCGGCCATGGGCGGCATTTTTCTTCGGGCGAGTCACGGTATAGATACAGGTATGCTAATCCGCCATTTTGTGACTAATAATCTTGTGTGAATATGAATTTCTCACCCTTTATTTTATAATTTTATCATTGATAAATGAGTCCCAAATTGGTGGTATAGCATACCCATTATATATGTAGAGCCTTAGCCACGGTGTCCGGAGAACAAGTGCCTGAAGTGCTGCCATCCCCCCCCCCCGGGCATGGCAGATACCTACAGGTGACCAAATCAAAAATTCTTCCAAAATAAACACACTCGTGTTCCTCCCCCTACCAACAAAAAACAAAAAATACATAATTAGCCTAAGTTGCCGGGCTCAAGCTCAATAAAAAAAAATAAAAATATTTAATTACAAATACGTATTACGTAGGTACTTATGTTATATTATATTATTAGAAAAATTATATATTATATAAATAATATTTTGTTTTAAATTACGATAATATATATTATGTGTAATTCAACTTAATTAACTTACAACTTCACAAATATAGCATATAAAAATATTTCGAATGATCGATACGTCAAATAATACAATTAAAAACATAATGTACAAAAATACTATACAAAATATAGGTAATAATAATAATTATCAAACAATAATTTATTGAATGTAGGCACGAGGCATATTATTACACATAATATTAATATGTTATCGTAATTTAAAACAAAATACTATTTATAGTATATAATTGTTTTAACACAGAACAAATTGTTTGTGGTTTTAATAATATAATTTAATATGATATTGATAATGTGATAAATGGTAATTATAGATACGTTTAAAAATATCTGTTCATCATGAACAGTTCATGTTGCATGTGGTATTGTGGTTGTAATATTATAGTCTGGGGATTTTTTTACCGGGGTTGTTCATCGGGGAATTTTTTTTCCTGGGGATTTTTTTTTTTTTTTTGATTACCCATTTCTCGTGATCTGGTGACTGGTATACTGATGTCCATCATCACAGCATATAGGTAATATAATAGACTTAATACTACTATACGAGTTGTCTACTAAACTGTTACCTATCATCTGTTTTATTTAACTGTGTTCTTATTTTGATAAATATTGATTTGGTATAAATTATACCGTATAATTAAATATATCATTAAAAAAATTCGCCAGACCAAACCGGTGTAAATTTCCCCTTAAAAACTAAACCGGTCGTGTGGATATAAGAAATTCGATGTACTAAACCATTAACCAATTTAAAAATTCGTCACATCGGTGGTCGAGAAATACCAATCGAGATTTGTCCCCACCTTTTTTTGATATTTCTCCTCAACAGGCATTCCTTTATCATAATATATTACATGTTATCACTTATAGTTATAATTTATAGTTAATTTTATTCAAATTTATATATTTTAATATTATAGTCTTTTATACTCATCAATTAACTAAGTTTAATATACCTTGATTATACTATTAATTATTCGATTTGGAGTAAGCACTAAGCAGTAAGTAATTAGGTAGTAGTTATAGATATTCATTTTTGTCGTACTTAAGATTGTATATTATTTTAAGTTGCATAAAAAAAGTCAGCTATACTATATTTCTGTCATAAATAAGCTTAATACTAGTAGTTTTGCACTAAGAAACTTAAATAAAACTTATACTAATTGACATAGCAATAGTTTACTATTATTAAGCTTTGTGATTCTAACGTCCCCGTTCATGCAAAACACACTAACTTCAAAAATATGATTGTTGAGGATCACTTTTTTTCAATTTGTTCATATTTCAAATGCATACTAAATGAAACCAAATTTAGAGTGTTTTGCGTATTCAGGATGTCTAATGGACTTAGTTGAAATTTTAAATTGTTTGTTTAACAACTTTAAATAATACTCGGACTGAATTTATTATAGAATCGTAGACATTTTTAAACTGAAGTCTATAGAATAATAAACCAGAAAAATGTTTGGACTTGTGTGTTTTGCATGAACATATATAGGTACTACATATTAAGTTTTTATGTTTAAATATTACATAGGTAGTTGAAATTACGTGATGAATTGTTTTTAAAAAAGAAATTTCATTTATTCTTTATGGTTGCATATTACAAACATGTGTATTTAATTTTACCTGAACACCCAGGTAAATTACATTGTTCATATAAAAGGCTCTCCAAAGTCTGAACGACTGTCTGAAAATTTTCTTTTAGAAGTTAGCACCAATACTCTAATAAACCTATCATTAATTTTATTTTGATTCATTTCTAGAAATTCACTATGTCTTTATGGGATATTTCTGATGATGCGATGGATAGTTACATTGAAGGTATGAACATTTTTAAACCCTTCAAACTTTATTGTTTTACAATAATGTATTGAAGTACATAATATTTTATAATTTATGATTCAAAAATTGTTTTCAATTTATTATTCCAGTTGTTGGTGATGACATTGTGAACGATGATACTAGCCCCTCTAACTATACTATTTCAAATTCTGAAATGTCCAGTAAATATTACATTTGAAATTGTTTCATGAACTAAATTTGATAATAAATATAAAGCATACTTTTTTTTTTTAGGCTCATGGACCGTAGCAGCTACAAAATTGTTGATTGCACTCAGATCAACTTATAATGAGAAATTTCAAAATGCAAAAAAAAAAGGGAAAAAAATGGAACTGTGGTTACTAATTTCTAATGAAATGAAGGGAAAAAATCACAACTTCAGTGAAAGGCAGTGTGATGAAAAGTGGCGACGTTTACTAACACGTTTTCGTCAAATAAGAGATGCTTCCAAGGTATCGGGAAGTGGTAATATCAAATGGCAGTATTATAATTCTATAGAAAATTCCATATTTCGAACAATGAGACAAACAGTTTCTCCACCCAGAGGTTAATTAATAATTTTAGTAATAAAATATATGTATATACTTAATGATAGGTAAAAATTAACTGTTTGATTAACCTAAAACTAAATGTAAAATGTTCGTTCTTGTAGTTTACATCCTTATATTATATTTTATAATTTATTAACACAACTTTTATAGATCTATTGCACAAATCATCTGCAAGACCACTGCTCGAACCTTCAGTAAATTCAATTTCCAAATCATCAGAATTAACTAGCAATAAAACACCTTGGATTACAAAATTTGAGGAATTAGAAAATGAACAGTTGAAATCAGCAAAAGAAAATGCAATCCAACTCAACAATCGGTTAGTTAATAAGTATTAGATACCCATTTTGATTAATTCTAATTATTCATTAATACATAATAAATTGATAGTATTGACAAGTTGGAAAAAAGGGAAGAAGCTATGCTAAAAACCCAAGAAGAAGTTGTTAAAAAATTAGAAGATGTGAATAATAGTCCCTTTAGCCATACTATTCCAAACATTGAAATGTCCAGTAAATATTACATTTGAAATTGTTTCATGAACTAAATTTAATAAAAAATATAAAGCATACAATTTTTTTTTAGGTTCATGGACAGTAGCAGCTACGAAATTGTTGATTGCACTCAGATCAACTTATAATGAGAAATTTCAAAATACCAGAAAAAAAGGGGAAAAAATGGAACTGTGGTTACTAATTTCTAATGAAATAAAAGGAAAAAATCACAACTTCAGTGAAAGGCAGTGTGATGAAAAGTGGCGACGTTTACTAACACGTTTTCGTCAAGTAAGAGATGCTTCCAAGGTATCGGGAAGTGGTAATATCAAATGGCAGTATTATGATTCTATGAAAAATTCCATATCTCCAACAATGAGACAAACAGTTTCTCCACCCAGAGGTTAAATAATAATTTTAGTAATAAAATATATGTACATATATACATAATGATAGGTTAAAATTAACTTACTGTTTGATTAACTTAAAACTAAATGTAAAATGTTTGTTCTTGTAGTTTACATCCTTATATTATATTTTATAATTTATTAATACAACTTTTATAGATCTATTGCATGAATCATCTGCAAGACCACTGCTCGAACCTTCAGTAAGTTCAATTCCCGAATCATCAGAATTTTCAATTCAAGATTCTTCTCTAAGCGTAATGGAAGAACCTCCAACATCTGGGTTGATACAAAAATCATTATTAAATAAAACTAGCAATGAAACACCTTCTTGGATTACAAAATTTGAGGAACTAAAAAATGAACAGTTGAAATCAGCAAAAGGAATTGAGCAACTCAACGATCGGTTAGTAAATAGGTATTAGATACCCGTTTTGATTATTTCTAATTATTCATTTATACATAATTAATAGTCTTGACAAGTTGGAAAAAAGGGAAGAAGCTATGCTAAAAACACAAGAAGAACTTGTTAAAAAATTAGAAGATGCAAATAATATCATACTACAGAAACTCAATGTTTTTAAAAAATTGTTTAACATGGATTAGTAGGTATGTTGGTTTCTATTTTTCTAATCATTAGATTATTTCAGTTTTTATTAGTTGTATTTCCTACAGGTTAATTTATATAATTTTTTTTTTTTAAACATTACTATGACTTATACATAATAATATTAAAACTGTTATATTAATTTTAAATATGTTCTGGTCATAATTAAGAGGGAAACTTAAAGACTATATTTGTAAGTAAAACTCAACACTTACATTTTTTGTTTTTTATATTATTTTTTGTTAAACATTACCATGCTATATACATATTAATATTAAAACTGTTATATTAATTTTAAATATATTCTAATAAGAAGGAAACTTAAAGGCTATATTTTTAAATAAGAGTAATTTTATACATTGGTAATGAATCACAAATAAAGTTTCTTTTGGTTGATCCTGCTCTTCCATTTCCTGAATAATTTCTGGTTGAAAACAGCAACTTCAATATCATCATTGTTTGTTATGCATATTTTATGCAAGCAACATGCTGCAGTAATGACTACCTTAAAAGTCTTTTTTATAATTAATATCCATATGTCTAGTTTTTAATTTTATAAAATTATTAATTAAACAATGAAAATTTAAATAAACAAAATTTGAAAATCTTTTAAATCTTTTAAATGTGCAAATCAATTTGCCAAATACTTGCTCGATTAAAACTCTACTACTACTAGTTTCCGATTGAAATTATTTTCTTAAGGGGCCTCGCTACGGTCATTATTTAAGGGGCAACATTTAGGAAATTTCTAATCTTGTAATGACCGCCCGGGATGTATGTGGTAGTTGTAAATGATTATTAGGGTGAGTGAAATGAAATGCGGGTATACACTCTCGTACGCTCATGCGCATGTCAATAACTCGATAACCATTTAATTTTCACTACACAAATTTTACAAAAACATTCATTTGTTTGAACAAAATTAAAGTTAGTTAAAGTTGTCTGATTTTGATTCTGAAAAAAATATTTGAATTCAGTAGAAAAATGTCTGTACACCGTATGAAACATTTTCGGTTTTTAATATTAATTTTAATTTTAATTATGATTCGAAAAAGTTCATATTTTCAAATTTTCAATTACAGTTCACAATAATATAAAATTTTGTTTTTACAAAGTGCTTCTTAGGATCTATAGACAATTTTCTGGTGAGCTTAAATTTTTTTTCAGAATCGAAATCGGACAACGGTAACTAACTTTAATTTTGTCAATACTTTAGGTCTTTTCAGCTAAAATTGACGGCAGTAGCGAGGCCCCTTAAATTATCATTATCTTTGTATGGATTTAGAAGATCCTCTGTAAGGGGATAGGCACCATCACCAAGAACCCTGTGTATTCGAGATTCGTGTTAATATCTTAGTGTTTTATAATATGTAGTAAACTATAGTAACTATAGTCTATAAATATTATATATTAGTAGTTTATGAGTTATAAATATTCAAAGTTTTGATGAGCAGAGAAGTGGACAAACATTTCGAGGGGTAACCCCGTACCACTCCACTCAACAAACTTTAAATACTTTAATTCATAAACTACTCGCCCCAAATTCGATTTTCATGTATAAAAATACTAAGAAAAATATTCTGCTTTGGAATATAAAATTAAAACCCTGTTGTCATACAAAAAAGTAAAAAACTTAAAAAATTATAAGGATAAAAAATATTTTAAAATATAATTTTTTAATAAAAACGTTTTTTTATAAGCGAATTGAAACTATGTAAAAAAATTAACACTTTTTGTAATATTGAGTGTTTACTGTTTGATAAAATAATCACCCAGTAAATATTTTTTTTAATATTACTATTGAATAATTTGTATATTGTATGAATATTGTATACACGCCAAAATTATTATCTAGTGAATTAAATAAATTTGAAATTCATGTTCGTAAAAACTTTGAACACCTCATTATTATTATCATTTTGAATTTGAATTGGTTTGTTACCGCCACATTTTATAACACATTCTCAGTGATAACACAGAATATAACAGTGATAACCTTATCTTTTTTTTTTTATAATCATTTTTACTATAGTGATATACATTATACAATCAAATAAAAAATGAGTAGCATGGCTTTAATAGTTTAATTGGCTGTATAAGCATTAAGCAGATTGTAATTAGGTATTAGCAAAAATACTGTTAAATATGTGTTAATAAATTAAATGATTACTATTGTTTTTAAATCATCGAGTAATATTATACATTTAAACCATGCCGTTCATGAAAGGCGCTGCTCCGATCCGGAGAACTATACAATATTTGGAAGCTGGGAAGATAGTGTTCAAAGACCGAATTAAAATTGTATCAATTCACTACAACACTTTGGGTGAAAATCATCGTGGAACCCGAGACTTTGTGTTTTGGCACCTCCCTCAAATTCAATTTAAAAATCCTGATGTTCAAGTGATGACTCTTAAGAATATGACACCGACACCATTCATAAGGTATACCTAAGCATATTTTCACACACTAACATTTAAACTTAACCCATTAAGTTATTAGCAGAGGCGCCGACTTTTAGATATTAGCGCGGGGGCAAACTCTTCTATTAAGCGAAAAAAATTCTATAGTATCAGTATGCTGTAGTTTGCTTACCGGGAGGAGTAATTACAAAATTGTCCCTTAACTCTATTTTAATACTCCTCTAGGGTGCAAAATAAAATATTATGCATGTATATTATTTAAATTTTCTTTATTGCTTTTATTTTTTTTAAATTATTTACATGAAAAAGTCGACCGATTTATAGTACTTATAGATCATATTTAGGTAATATACAAATATACAATCATCGATGTTCTAATGAATATTTTCATGTTATAATTTGGTATTTTAACCAAATAATTATTATTGTACACAACGGGGCACGGGGGTGAAATAATACTTTTGCCCCCGTTAAATCAATGTACGGGGGCGATCGCCCCCTTTGCTCCCGTGGAGTCGGCGCCTATGGTTATTAGTATATAATATTATATATTTATTTATTTATTTAGATGTTTCATGAGCGATGGTAAGGATTTGTTAATTGATGTTGATAACCGTGACAAAGATCGAATTCATGACCATGTTTTACAAGTTCTTGGAAAACCAAAAGAAACACTCCACATGGAAGCCATGGCTAAAGAGAAAAAAGATAATATTGCCAATTTTGGATATATGTGTGAAAAACATTGTATGTGTGAAATTTTTGGACAAGTTCCGTGTCCAGCAGTTGTGCCATTGCCTAAATCTTGGAGAGGCAAATACAAAAATGAAGAATCATAGCTTGTAACACTCAATTTTATGTAAATACTTTTTTTTCGGTATAATATTAAGGTTATTAGTCACAATAAAATGGAGTTCTTCTCTTAAACAGTTGAAAATATGATTTACATTTTATCATACCACTAAAATTATTTAGTTCATACTTTTATCATTTTTTCTAAACAGTGTTTAAATTATATGAATGTTTGCATGGGGATTATATTATACCTTATAACAGCGTTTCTCAACCTGTGGTATGTGGAAAGCTCATAGGTGGTACGCTAAGGAAATCTCCCTTTATAAAAAAAAAAAATGGAATCATTATTCACATGAAATATTATTTGGTTTATTTGATATCAATTATAATGTATATAATAATCGTGCATATTTAATTTGCTTTTTATGCATTAAATGCTTATATTACCTATATCATAATTTTGTATACTCTATTCAGGATAGAAACTGTACCGGGTGGCCAACTGTGCTCATGGGCATGGCTTTGTTCAAAATTCCGAACTTGGTGGGAGAAGCATCTGACCACCGACGCTCGGTACTGTTATTATCCTTAATAGAGTATAGTTCCTAATAAAATAAAATACCATACATGTAATATAACGCATACCTTTTGATAAGCAAAAAAATACAATTTATTTGGTCAAGTACACAAATGGTACATGAAAATTTTCAAACTGTGTAGGTGGTACGCGATTATAAAAAGATTGAGAACAGATGCCTATAAGATTTAATAAATCGTTATACAATTCTTATAATTAATTTTTATTTTTAGTGGGACTATCTTCATAACTTATATCAATCTATACATTTTAATAAAATGTATAAACAGTAATGATCAATATTTTGGTGTGGATGGATACTGGATATTAAAATAACGCCCAATAAATACCAATTTTTACTTACCTATCCCAAATAAAAGAAAACACATCAAAATCTCAGTCCTATTTGTTAATTAAATTGTGTATTTTTTTTATACGGCTTATTGACCTATGATTGTATGCATAATGAATGACAGCATACATTTAATGATTTAAAATACATAAAATGTATATATTTTTATTCTTAGAGCTCATTTAGTTAATGGACTCATACAATGGTTGCGAAGTGAGTCCAATAAGAATCGACTACTTTCTTATAATAATTTATCAATTTATATCCAAATATACAAATTATATAAGTCCAAATGAGGTAGACAAATCATAACTTCACAAACTTATTAATACCTGTTCAATTATTTGTACTATTTGTTGTTATATTTTTGGATAGTGGCCTGAAGAAATAACTTCTATGTAAATATTCCTCATAGTTTAAGATTAGTTATTTACACTCAAATAACAATTTGTAGTTATTATTTAAAATTTTGTATTTATTGAATTGTATTAACAAAATGTTATCAAGCGGTCTATAAATATTTAACATTGCATCAATAACTGCTCAATTTTATTAGTTATTTTTGTAAGTTCTAACTGCTATAAATTACATTATCTTTTAATGAATTATCAATCTATATATTTTGCTTTTACTTTTAATATAAATGAAACATATTGATGAAAATAAAATATAAAGTTAATTTTAGATAGGTACCTATTATTAGTATTTATTATTATGTAGTAAAGAGCCTTTATATTTCTTATATAATGGACTCTCTACTACCTAGTATTTACTAAGCGCAATTATAGATAATCCATATAATCACAATTTATAATTGTGGTTGTATTTTGTAATCAGTGCCACAACTACCGTAGGGTCAGCCGGGGCAATGCCCCTGTAGAAGGCCGCTAATCGTTGACTCAGGGTGCCTCGATGGCGCCCCGCATCTATTTTAAATTTTTAAATAATCACATTATAATCTAATGTTTAAATCAAATAAAATACATTATATAAAAATATTTATTTTTATAATTTATTATGCTAGGTATCTAATTTGTTGTCGAAGACCGGGGCCCCAATTTATCCATAATAATATCTATATTTGTCTAAAAGTGTTTTATTGTTATTGAGTTACTTTTATGTATGGAAAAAAGAACACTATAAAAGTGTAGATATATTTTAATAACAACACTACACTGGTCACTAGGTAGTGGGCCTTCACATTAAATTTAACCTATAAAAAAAATATTATTTACATACATTGACTTTGTCCGTGGCCCTAAGAATCCTAATTGCGGCACTGCTTGTAAGTCTTTAAACGGTCACACCCATATTAAATGGACCAAACTCAAAGTATATCAAGAACCTATTGAATCCATCAAAAAATAAATCTGTTATATAATATGGCATTGAGCACTTACTCCCAAGATCTTCTTTTTTAAGCATTAAATCTAGTTTAAAAATATTAGATATTGTTTATATAGAAGTAGTAGAAGTTCAATTTTAAAGTTCAAACCAGTTTTTTTTTTTAATTTTTGCACCCCAGGTAATATTCAATTGAAGTTAACATAGTGGGTGTCTGGTTAAACATTTGAGGTAGCTGAGTCCTCTAGTTTATTATTTTCAAGAGACCTTGCCCTCCCACCCCACAAGTATCTACAAGTATCTCAATTACTACCAATGGACCAATGTTGTGAATGCTCAAACTAGGACGAAAACATGGACCGTGTTGACCACCCTAATAATCATTATGCTAGTCCTATAGCTATACTATGATGCTTAGCATTGAATTTAGTAAAAAGTATAATAATAATAATTAATACGTAAAACCAAAAATCGTTTATAGTAGCCTCATCTAGTTGCAAAAGTGAGTAGTAGTCGCTGGAACATAGACCTATAAACTAAGGTTTCATTCCGTATTAGTTGAAATGTTTAAAATAACGGCAGTAGAATAATTTCGTCCGAATTTGTTCAATAATATGATATAACTTGTAAACTTGCCTATTACGAGATACTATTGTGACCCGACATTTGGACTTCATGGTTCATACTTATTGCTATCCCACGGTCCACAAATAAACATAAAAATACAAAGATATCGATTATGGATATGTACATTAATATGTTCATTATCTTTAACAAGTTAATATTAAATTGAGGTCCACGTCACCCGCGGGCCGCGGGTAGCAGATTGTCCGTGGGCAATAAATATATTTTATTCTCAGACTAAAAAGTACATAATATGAAAACAAACTTACACTCTAACGTCATTCATCTCTTCCAGTGAAACCTTTTGGATTCTCGAGTAAAGTAGGTATTAATTATATACACCGCCCCTGATGGAACTGCAGCTTTCTCCATCCGTCTTCGTTGGTCTCGAACTGAACGTTTCGAGATTTACGACACAAATAACCCGACGGACAGAACGGAAGCGGAAAATATGCGACTACATTGTTGGTAGGTACACATTATTGTGTTATAATATTGGTACTAAAGTAGTATAAAGTGTCTATACTACTGTTTAACGATTACTCGTTCGTCTATTACACTCTATTGTTGGTTTTTTTGTCCATTGAAATAATTATTAGAATCGTCAACAGTGTCCGACGAATATTAGCGACGATTGACGCGTTTTCCATAGACGACACCGATGACAGAATATTATATTATTATTATTATCATAGGTCCTGAGGGTGCAGCCTCTGCAAGGCCTGTGGCTGCACCTGACATTTCAACCGCAAAGTTTATTTTATCGGTTGTCATTATACACAGTAAGCACCAATTTTTGTCTTGATGTCAGTGCCGTAAAAACCGCACACAGGCTTCAGGCCTCATAATAATATATCGAAGGGCCTCAAAAGATCTAAAGACTAATATTAAACTAGTATAAAATTATTAAAATATATTTAAATTATTTATTATTGATTTGGAAACGAAACCAATGTTATTTCGTTTTTAATATAGCATGGAGTCGTGATCACTGTTTTTAGATTTTGAGAGGAACGAACAAATGTATTGATTTTACAAGATGTGTATAATTTTTTTCATTTCTGTCGGTCGTCAACAATGGGCAGTAAAAATATTCCGAATTTCGAGATCAGCATTTTTTCTGTTAGAAAAATGAATCTAGATGGTACTTTTTGGAGATCGAAACCGAAATTTTTGGTTTTAGATATTAAAAAGCGTCAATAAAAAAAAAAAAAAATTGTCATTTTTACCTAAAACCAAAAATTTTATTTTTTGGTATAACTCGAAAACTAATAACCGTAGACCATTAAAGTTTTCACCAAATATTTAAATTAATATTTTCAATAAATGACCTATTTTAAAATTTTTACTTTTTTGAGTTACCTAGTTATAGCATTGAGAAATTGTTTTAAAATTATAGATTATTTTAAATTAAACATTTTTTTTTTGTTTAAGCCTGAATTTTCGTCTGCTGACTTTAAAAATTGCAAAAAAAGTTTTTTAGGTGTGTATTGAAAAAGATAATAAGGGGCCTCAATATTTTGGTTTTGCACACAGGCCTCAAGTAGCCTAGTTACGGGACTGCAGCTTGATGTTGACTTTGAGTGTAATAAAAATTGTCTTTTTATAACCGAGGGTTGAAAATGGAAATAGATTTAAGAAAATATTACATAATAGTAATTGGTTATAACTTATAAGCTTATAATATAACAAGTGCAGTATATGTTTTTGTCATCCGAACATAACGAAATTCAGATGCAACGATCTGATTCTCTAGGTTCATACAGTATCTAAAAATATAAATAAACACGTTTTTTTTAAGACGTTTTAATTACAAATTTCGATGGAATTGGATCTTTTTTAAAGAAAGGATAACAAATTTACTATTTTAAAAATATTATTCATGGCCTGTTGGTTCTATTCAGTACTTGAAACTATTAAAGCAGGTGTATTCGTGTAGTATTATATTATTACGCATTACATAAAATTACATTTTCAGATGCAATTTTTTCGGCAAAATTAATTCGACCTATTGTGTTAGGTGTACCTACTGGCTACTAATACCTAGTAAAAATAATTATGATTGTCTATAGGTACCTAATTTATTGTATTTATAGAAATATTTGGAAATTTATTGTCTTAAGACAAAATTAGACATTATACAAAAAAATTAATAATTTCAAAACTATTAAAATAAATTTTTAAAAATAGGGGGGAGGGAATGTCCACATTACAAAATGTATCGAGTCCTATACTACACCGAAAACAGTCAGGGGGGAAATGTCCACGATTCGTATAATGTAGCCGTTTAGGTTATTGATTATTATCTAACATAAAAGAATGCAACATAATATAAATTAATGAATTATACCCTCGTAAAATAAATATTTGTATGCCTTACGTAACTGTTATTTAGAAACAAAAAAAAACTAAAACTTAAATTTAGGTTTCTAAATAAAAAAAGGTGGGCAAGTGGGTGTCGCTCTGCTGTACAGTAGGTTACGAGTGGGTCATTGTATAACGGATGGTATTAAATTTGAATTCAATGATATAATATCATTGTATAAGAAAAACGATTCTGAGCGGAGACGGTATGTCCTTCTAGGTATAAGACATATTATATACATATCTATGGTATTAAAAAAAATTGACCTATAATGAATTCCAAATTAATCATATCACAATATCCATTAGGTACTTATAAAGCGTTATACACCAACAACAAACCCTGATATTATCATAGATATATATAGTAGATTACTTTAGAAATTTCAAGTACCCACGAATAATATTATACAATCACAACAAAATAACTGAAATCGTAATTCTTGGTTTAAATATGAAATTTTGTCTAAATTTGAAATTAAAATGTCTGTAAAAAATAAGTGTGTTTATATATTTTTTAGATTTTTTGGTTACAGTATGAATTATTTAAGAGAATCTTTGTTTTAAATTTTCAACTCTTAGTTATAAAAACTGAACATTTTATAATTTTTTAATTCCAACGATTGATAGTTTTCGAGATTTTGATAAATTTTGTCAAAATTCCAACTTTAAATGCTTATAAAAAAAAATCGTGCCTATGTATTTTTAATATTTTTCAACTGATATTGTAACAATATATCAGGAGCCTTGTATTAAATTTTTACACTTTTTGGCCCAACAGATAAAACTTTATTGATATTTATAGAAAAAAAAACTAAAAAAAATTGAAAGCTGTAAATGTCCATAAACAGCTCAAAAAGAGTCAAAATATTTTCAAAATTGTATGGTGTATAGGAAATGCTAATATAAACATTCAGTGAAATTTTCATGTATCTACAGTTATTCGTTTTTGAATTACAACAAAATAAGGAAATCGCTACATGAGAAATCGAGTGAAAATCCAATGTTGTAAAAATTTGAATTTCAAACGCTCATAAAAATTTAATTTGACTGTCCGGTAGAGATTTTTTTATTGATAAAGGTAGATAATCTTATAAGGAATCTTGTGTTTCATTTTCAAATCTTAGATTTAAAAAGAAAAATTTTTACGAATTCTTAACTCAAAATAATTTGCTAATTTTCGTGATTTTTCCATATTTTGTCAATTTTTGAACTTTAAATGCTTATAAAAAAAAATTGTGACTAAGGATTTTTAATATTTTTCATCTGCCTTTGAAACAACATATTAGGAGCCTTCTATTAAATTTTCAAGCTTTCGCAACCAATAAATAAAATTTTATTGATATTTTTAGAAAAAAAACTAAAAAAAAATGGAAAATGAAAATGTCAAAAACAGTTAAAAATAAATCAAAATATTTTGAAAATGTTATCGTGTATAGAAAATGCAAATATAAACAACCAGTGAAAATTTCATGTACCTATATACGTTCATTTGTTTTAGAGTTACACCAATAACCAAAATCGATTTTTTGGAAAACCAATTTTGCGTAAAAATTCCCGTTTTTCCTTAATTTTTATGTTGTTTTTTCCCGGCGCTTGTGAAAACTACTGGGAAATTTATACTGTTGACCTCCCAAAGTACCAACTAGATTCACTTTCCTATCAGAAAAGCTACTGATGAAGAAAATCCAAGCACTTTTACTGTCCTAAAACGTGATGACAGACACAAAAATATAAATAAAAATATAAAAAATTGTGACTAAGGATTTTTAATATTTTTCATCTGCCTTTGAAACAACATATTAGGAGCCTTCTATTAAATTTTCAAGCTTTCGCAACCAACAAATAAAATTTTATTGATATTTTAAGAAAAAAAACTAAAAAAAAATGGAAAATGAAAATGTCCCTAAACAGTTCAAAATAAATCAAAATATTTTGAAAATGTTATCGTGTATAGAAAATGCAAATATTAACAACCAGTGAAATTTTCATGTATATACGTTCATTTGTTTTAGAGTTACACCAATAACCAAAATCGATTTTTTGGAAAACCAATTTTGCGTAAAAATTCCCGTTTTTCCTTAATTTTTGTGTTGTTTTTCCCGGCGCTTGTGAAAACTACTGGGAAATTTATACTTTTGACCCCCCAAAGTACCAACTAGATTCACTTTCCTATCAGAAAAGCTACTGATGAAGAAAATCCAAGCACTTTTACTGTCCTAAAACGTGATGACAGACACAAAAATATAAATTAATATATAAAAATATAAAAATATAAAAACATACATCATTGTAAAACCAATACATTCATCGCTCCGCTCAGAATCTAAAATATAAAAACATACATCATTGTAAAACCAATACATTCATCGCTCCGCTCAGAATCTAAAACCATAACACTTGGCCCAACCTAGGTATACTATACTCAACACACGTGTCTCAAAGTCTCATTATAGTCTCAATCCGTGATCTTACTAATGACCACAAGGTCTCCCCTGAGGATCTCTTCTAAGACCATGGTGGCAATTATTGTCTTCAGCAGACATTTTTCTATGGGGAGCAAAGATAAATGAAAATGACAATTTTTTAATGAAGAATAATAGTTTATTCACTTTAATATTCCGACTATACATACATAGGTATATATCATATTATTTAGGTAGGTCTAAAATGTACAAGTTTAGCCTAATTACATAATTATTCAAAAATAATATAAATATAGATATAGTGATATAGATCACCTATATCCATCACGACTAATTTTTCATGATATACATCGCATATACACGAATGGATCTTCGCAGGAAAAACCTATAAAAATAATGTTATTATAATAACATAACACTATCCAACTAACATAATATTTTTACATTATAAATAATAATTAAAATAGTTAAATACATTAATAACATTATTTTTATAACAATATTTGTGTACTGTAATAATAATAATAATATCATTACACAATTGCTATCTGGGTATTAGTTGGAATTTTGAAAATATTTATCAAATTTAAAATTATATTATATAATTTAACTTTTATATCTAAAGATTGAAAATTTAAAATAATGTTCCACGTAAATAGGTTGTACATTTATACTGTTTATACTGTATTCTCAATGAATTGTGTATTTTTAAATTTTAAATTACGATATTGTTTTTTTTAATAACTTATTAACTATTAAATATTAATGTATTTAACTATTTTAATTATAATTAATATAATAAAATATAATATTATAATTTATAATGAAAATTATGTTATCGGTTTATCAATGTTATCACATTTTGATAACTGCAAAAAAGGGGCTAAATGTAGGCAATATTATATACGGACACAAACAATTTTTTCATAATACCTATACCATCGCATATACGGTCCCTGCAAATTGTTCTGTGCATATACCCAAGGTTGATATACCGTATGTAACAGAAAGAACTGACCAAAAAAAAAAAAAAATTGATGCTACTTAAATGTATGACAAAAATTGTTGAAATTATATGATTAGTAAATAGTTTCAAGAATATACCCATGTTATAAAATTTCCAAAAATAATATTTTTAAAAAAGCTATTGCGTTCCAAATTTATTTTATCAAAAAAATATTGATATTTAAAAAAATTCTAAAAAATAAACTACTAGACTTAGATAAATGTTTTTACCATCCAAATCGTTCTTAAAATCAGATTCACAAGTTTGCTATTTTGAATTTATTCAAAAAAATTTAAGTCAAATTTAAATTTTTTTATTTTCAGTATAAAAAAATAAAAATAATTTTTTTCCTCTTACATGTGTAGAGCAAGTGGCTATATTAAAATAAAAAAAAAAATTAAAAATAATGATCAGAACAAAAGTTATTCCAAAAGTCAGTTCTATCTGTTACACCCTGTATACCTTGCATATTATACCTATATTGTTCTATGCATATACGGTCCCTGCTTGTACAGTGAGTACAACTGTCGTAGAGTGTGGACGAGAGGACGTGAATTACCGTGCGTCCGTGAACACTGTAATACCGTACCGGCGACGGTCGTCCGATCTATGTCTACAAGCAAACAATCCACGGTACATGTCCGTCACGTTAGTTAACAGTTGTGGAGGGGATACACACTGTACCGCACACGGTACACGTAACGCTGCGGCACGTCTCACCATCGCCAAATTACGGCCGCCATTCACCATTCGGTTACAGGGACGTCCTGTGATTTTTATTTTACGTTTTTCGCCTTTATCCAGTCGTCGGACTAGCGCTCGGAAATCACAACCAAGGTACGTAATCCTATCGTTTCGGCCATTGCCCGGCGGTATTGCCGAGAGCGTTGCCTTTTCCGGGCGGCCGATCGTCCGATTCGATCGGATGAAAATTTAATTAATAATAACACGCCTTTCGTGTGTTTCGGTGTAGATGCCTGTTCCCGCGCAATCCAAAATCGTCAAGAAGGGAAACTCGGAGCCCGACCAGTTCGAGCTGTCCATCGCCCAGGCCTTGCTCGAGTTGCAGAACAACAGCGACTTGAAGGCCCAACTCCGTGAGCTTTACATCACCAAAGCCAAGGAGATCGAGCTGTTCGGCAAAAAGGTGAGCCACCGATCACAAAGTGTTGGTAGTGATTAGTGAAGGTACTTACTGGGGGGGTGCTGTGGAAAACATGCTTTCTTCCCCGATCTTGTGTCTTACGGTATTTTTCATTTTGACGAATTTTTGCCTTCTCGTCCACACGATCGACAATTCAATTTTTAATTATGCTCATCTGTATGTACTTTCCTACCGTCGTGTTCCAAATGTTATTATATTACTCATGTTCTAACAACATTTTATTCTCCACCCTTGTTAGTAAAGATTATCCATTTGTTCAGTCTTTTTTTTAATTTCATCTATAGGTACAAATATTTATTTACTTTTTTGGCAGCGTTTAGATTTTTGCGTTTTGCCTATACTGTATAGCTTGTTTTCTAAATTTTATTTACTTGCAGAACAAACGCAAAGGTCGAGGCGCTGCCACACCATGAAGTCTACGATTTTACAATGCTACCGGCTCAAGTTGGCCAGTCATAGGAAATATACTGAAGGGAAAAGTAGTTGAGGAGTTAAACGAAACTGTTGAATTTACCAAACTCTGGATCTGATCATAGTATTATGTTTGTCATGTTCTACAGTTAGAATACCTATGTTGTAATTTAGTGTAAGTTAATTTTCTTGAAATACATTTTTTTAATTTTAATTATGTACCTATTAATTATCTTTCTATAAAGTCAGCAAAATGTAGGTTAACTTAAATTTATAAAAACTAATAGTATAATGAAATATCCCTATTTTGACAAGTATTTTTGCATTGTTGAAAACGTTCAGCTCTTCTGATGTATTATAATAACGTTTAATCTTTAATAAGGATATTCCACGGGCATTCATTGTCTTCGTCTTACAAGTGTGTAATATACCAAATTTACTCTCAGCTGATCACATTTAACTCCATTAGTATAAAATTTAGAGCGAATCTTATGAAACCTGATGGTAAGAACTTTATCATTGTTTATATGTGGGTTTGTACAATAATTTAGTTTTTAATTTACTCTATATTATATATATCGAACTATCGTAAAAAAAAAAAACCACTTACGTACACGGACAATGTTCTTAGCATCAAGTTTTATAACCAGCTATCTATTTTTTACGCATCATCAAATTCGTTGTGTTCTTGTTCTCGTCCACAATGGTCCACACTGATGCCATATTAAAGTATTGGTCTTTGATAACTGTTGTATATATATATTACAGTCTTTATCTACTATAACCACACATTTTATTTGTATAAAATTAAATTTTTAAATGATTATAACTTCATTATTTCTCTACATTTTTATTTTTATTTTTTAGAGCGTCATTATCTATGTGCCCATGCCGCAACGAGCTCAATTCCAAAAAATTCAAGCTCGCTTAGTTAGAGAACTAGAGAAGAAGTTTAGTGGCAAGCATGTTGTGTTTATTGGTGATCGTAGAATATTACCAAAACCAACTAGGAAAACAAGGACAAAGAGCAATCAAAAGCGTCCAAGAAGGTATATTTGACTTAAAAAGAATAAATAACAATATATTATTATGTATTCTAGTCTGCGTGTTACTAATGTATATTTAATTGATACATATAGCGTCTAAGCGGACATAAATTAAAATATGTTTTCAATTCTTATATTATTAATAATAATACTAAATGTTTTATTATTACTATGTCGACATAACAATATTATATAAGTATTATTGTTCAATTGTACTATTAATTGTTTTATTGGAGTATTAATATCAAATTAATATTTTTCAGTCGAACTTTGACTTGGGTCTACGATGCAATCCTTGATGATTTAGTCTTTCCAGCAGAAATTGTTGGTAAACGTATCAGGGTGAAATTAGATGGAAAACAAATGATGAAAGTTCATTTAGACAAAACTCAACAAACCAATATAGAGCACAAGGTAATTATATAATATGTTGTATACTTATTTGTAAAATCTTGTGGTTTTTACATAAATAAAATTAATTTTTAACCTGGGTACCTATAAGAATATACCTAACAATTAATGTGAATAATTAGTTCATAATTCATACTAAAGATAAAATATGTTTCTCCTGAATTTATATATACCTATATATATATTTTTTTTGCATTGTTTTCTATGAAAGCTCAACAATTAAAATTTATACAAAATACTTTTTTTTAAATTCACATATCATAATCTTAATCTGTATCTTTTTTCAAATACATTGGATGACATGTGTATCAACTACTAAAACTACCATACATAATATTTTAATTTAAACTTTATGCAGAGTGCAAAATAAATAGTTTTAATTCTTATATGCACTACAGCGCTCTTTACAGTTTTCCATAACTGTCGAGTTCTATCCATGTGCTATATTATATTGTTTAGAAATGATTTTTATAATCTTCTAACCGTTTGGAAGATTTAAACCATTTTTAACCTACATTTCAAAATATACAGAAGAATAAAAATACTTTAAAATATGTTAAGATGCACTACAGCGCTCTTTACAGTTTTCTATAATTGTCAAGTTCTATCCATGTGCTATATGAAATGATTAGGAATGTTTTTTTAATCCTCTTAGTCTTCGGAAGATTTTTATCCATTTTTAACCTACACTTTACTAAAACATGCAAAGTTATAAGTCAAGATGCACTACAGCGCTCTTTACAGTTTTCCATAATTGTCGAGTTCTATCCATGTGCTATATGAAATGATTCGAAATGATTTTTTAATCCTCTTAGTCTTGGGAAGATTTTATCCATTTTTAACCTACATTTCAAAATCTACGGAAGAATAAAAATACTTTGAAATATGTTAAAATGCACTACAGCGCTCTTTACAGTTTTCCATAATTGTCGAGTTCTATCCATGTGCTATATGAAATGATCAGGAATGATTTTTTAATCCTCTTAGTCTTCGGAAGATTTGATCCATTTTTAACCTACACTTTACTAAATACTAAAACATGCAGTTATAAGTCAAGATGCACTACAGCGCTCTTTACAGTTTTCCATAATTGTCGAGTTCTATCCATGTGCTATATGAAATGATTAGGAATGATTTTTTTAATCCTCTTAGTCTTCGGAAGATTTGATCCATTTTTAACCTACACTGTATTAAAACATCATAAGTCAAAGATGCATTACATCCCTCTTTACAGTTCTACATAACTGTTAAGTTCTAGCCATGTGCTATACTAAAGTAGTTTTATATATTGTCTATGTTTATACTAATCTGTTTGTAGTTGAAATAATTAATTTACAAATCACATTAAAAAAAAATAATATCTCAATATTCATTCAACTAGTCATTGATCCTTATTCTCTAATATCTTAATAAAGGTAAACAGTTAAATATTATATTTCATTTCGTCTGTGTGTTACTAATGTATGATAACAATTGATACAATTAGCGTCTAACCAGACAAATATTAAAATATGTTAATGCATTGTAAATATATCAGTGAATATTTTATTGATTTTTTAGTCTATTGACGTTACATTAAGTATTTCTCTAGACTATTTGCTCAAACCGGTGTGAAAAAATCCTACCAATTGGTATGTTTGTACCATATCATTGGCGTGTTTCATTATCCTGGTGCGGTATAATTTTACACCAATTTGGCCCAGCAAATTTATAGATTAAAATATATTATCTTTCATGTACTCACCAACATAATATTTTTCTGAATAATATTATTTCATTTTTTACAGGTGGATACTTTTGCATCTGTATACCGAAAGCTGACCGGCAGGGATGTGACTTTTGAGTTTCCAGAACCATACTTGTAAACTTGGCCCAATAAAAACATTTTAATTTAAATTTCTGATCATTTTTTTTCTTCATAATATATTATTAATAACTACTGCAATAGTATTGTCAATGATACATACCCGCTTTAATTAAAACTGGGTAAATAATACATTAACATTTCATTATTGACTATTCAATATAATTATTACAAAACATAATACATTTATTTGCTCAAATAAAGTTTTGGTTTTAATTATTATTTATATTCACATAGTACCAGTGGTGCATTGGTAAATAAATTTATAGGTATACGCACCTAAATATAGTTGAATATACCTATATATAATTTATTACAAACACTAACCTTTCATGTGTATATGTATATGCAGTGGCGTATATAGGGGGGGTTTCACTATATTTTTCACCCCCACCCCGAAATTAATTCCTATATATACCACTGTAATATGTACATAATATCAGTACCTAACGTATTATTTTTTTAATTAATTCAATTCATAAATGTAAAGAATACAAGTTTTTATTATCAAACTTAAAAAAAATTGTACAGTAAAATAATGGACTATACTCATAAAATAATAAACAACTTTAGATAATATACAGTATTTATTAGTCTATATTATCTAATAACATATCAAAATTTAAATATTATTTATTATAAATCATTTTAACGGCAGTTTCCGATCGTCTTTGCAAGAACCCGAATTCTGGTAAAATTTAATCGAACTTCTTGCGGCTATAGGAATATTTTTGGACAGTGTACTTAATATCATAATAAAATATATTAATTTGTTTATTATTTTTAACTTTTTTTGGTGATAGAATGACTGAATTGTCTGTCATAAATTGGAAGCGTGCGTATACCCATAAAAGATTTTTTCCTTTAAAGGTATACGCATAAATCAAAAAAAAAGGGATCCGGGTATACGATGTGTACCCTCCACACACCACCGCATAGTACATGACAATTTATTGACTTTTATAATTTTATGTTGGAATGAAATTATACCTCTTCTACTGAAAAATCGAAAAACCTAGGTAATTAAATGGTTAAAATGTTTAATGATTTTTAGCTAAAAAAGTACATTTAATCAAGAGGATGTGTTGTCTTACTAACGCATAATATACGAAAATGTCTGGAAGTTCCAATCGTGTGTTAGCTTGAATATTGGAATGAATTGACTTATTATTAAACTTAAATGTAAGAACATTATCTGTGTTCTCTCGTTGGTTTTTACATTTTTATTTTTTGATGAACTATAAAGTGTTAATATAATTAAATTAATTATAAATGCTCATTACTCGCCTACAAATGACAGAACTCATGTTCTTACATGCCTATTTCAAGTTTCATAAATGATAATACATTATTTGTCAATTCATTCTAATATTTAATCCAAAGACTCTAAAAATATAAACTGCTGGACGTACATCTTAGTAAGATAGAGACAACACTTTCGAATATGACATCCTCTTAAAGGAAGTTTAAGAATTGCTGCCTACATTTCCTCATGCCTATACAGTAAAACCTCCTTATAACCGACCCCCCCCCATATAAAACAGAAAATTATGTCAGGCAAAACATACCCGTATCACCTATATCTCGTACATTTTAGTCTTCTTATAACAGAAAAGTCAGTTGAGTTATGTTTTAGTGTTATCATCTTTTAGTTAGATTTATTTCCTTTTTTTATAGTTATTGGAAGAAAAGTTCATGGTCACACTTTTTAACAAAAACATTATTTTTACAAATTAAAGTAGAAATACATATTTTTGCAAAAACAGTTTTAGTTTAGTCTCTTAGATGACCATACAAATTCCATGTAGCGTATAAACCGTTACCATTAACCTTTGTGTGCTAACTGCTAAGATACTAAAATATTATTTTCTTAATATTTTGCAATGATAAATTTGTAAAGTTGAATCGGTGATTAGTCCATATTTTTAACAAGTATGGGTTTTTAACTCAAATAATTATAATGATTTGGTTATTACAAGTATTATAAATTATTTATAGATAATAATATTCATAAATTAATAAAAAAAAAAAGTATAAATATTGAGCACCTTTGTTATAACTAATAAAAATGTACCCATGATAATTAAAAGTTAGAAAACAGTACTATTTAAACTAAGTTCAACGCTTTCAATGGTTTCAAAACATAAATCCTTATTACGAATAGGTTAATAACCATACATTTTTTACTTCATACTCCGAATATAATATATATTAGTATATCTAGAACAATTTTTGGAGTAGCTACTTTGAAAATCGAATTTTAAACGAGAAGTTAATTAGTTATAAATTTATATTTTATGTATAGCTACATATTGTCTAAGCTATGTGCGACGCGTAATGTCCTAAATCATATTGTTAGGTATAATTCGAATATAAGAATAATAAAATTAGTAATTTAATTATTACGGAGTTGAGACTTTTTAGATAAAAAGGTAATATAATATATTACCTAGGTATATTGGTTTTTAATATTTTTTAAATGTTAATATGTCGTATTACTGTAAACTTGTAATTAAATTATCGTTGTCTATATATTGTAAAAAAGCCAAATACCATTCAGTAACTCATTCATCGCTAAATCTTAAAATCTACATACCCAATGTACGAATTGGAAATTCTGAATAGTGATTCCTCGAATGATAAGTTAGGCTATAGCCTACAGTGGAGGATACAGTCCCCCTCCATCATCTATATTATAATAAATTAGAAGAAATATGGCATATACATTTTATACAATTGACATATTTATTAAAAATATAAATCTTTGTTCTGGACAACGCCGGGCCGGACAGCTAGTATGATATATAATTAATATTTAAGTACCTAGTTTTAAATATAAAAAAAATGCTTATTTAAAAAAACGAAAAATTGCCTTGTTATGATTATCTTAAGAAATAAGATACCGTCAATCGAGGTGACTTGGAACTTTGAGGTGAAATGAAACACCCCGGTTTTTTTTTAAACATATCAGGTTATCTATGAAACAAAATGATATAATTTAAATCTGCCTGCATTTAAATTAAATTTACAATATTTGTGATAATAAATGTTATCATCAACCATGTGGTTGGTCTTATCATTACCACCGAAAAAAATAACCAAACATTTCTTATGATAACAACGATTTTATCATTGCTCTCAAAAGTGCTTCAAATGTTGGTGATTGAAGTCAAATTTAAAGATTTGTATATTTTTTATACATTAAAGGACACTTCAAAAGCAGACTTTTGTAGTTAAAAGTCCTTAAACATTTTTTTCTAATTTTATAACTTAAGTTTTATTTTACAGAAGAAAATTGAGGGTGACTTGGAACACCAAAAATGCCAAACAAATACGAGCGTATACCGGGTAGCCGGACATATATAAATGACAGTGACGAAACACTTTAACAGGCCCTCGATGATATTTAAAATGTATTTGTGTTTATTTTGAAGAACTATTTAGTTATGTTTTTCTATTTAGAAAGAATTTTTATTTTGTTTTTATCATGTTATTGATATTTTATTATTTAAATATTTAGTTTACTGTTAAAAAAAGGTAAAGTTAACCTGTTTCTTTTTAATATTTATTTAACATGTTCTTGTGTTAATTTTAAAAATAAAAATTTTGTTCCAAGTCACCTCTAACGTTCTTGAATTGAATTTCACATTAAATTTTCATAGCTGTTCCAAGTCACCCAAAAATTGAGGTGACTTGGAACACGTACTTTTTACTTTTTTTTAAGTTCAGTTTTGGTCAAAAAACTAAATGAAAGGTCTTATCCTATTCATGAGACGTATGCAAACATTTATGTATTTTTTGTAGTCCAGTGCGATTTTTTTTAAGCTCAGAATAACAAGAAATATGTCAAAATCGTTCCAAGTCACCTCGATTGACGGTATACAATTATACTTATATAAGTATTTGCTTTGTGGAATTTTTTTCCTATTACCCATGCAGAGAGTAGGTACCTCTATCCGATCATCGTCAGAGCTGACTACTGACTCCACCCGCGTGCCACGGCGTAAAAAAGATTGTCCCACCGGGGTGACTGCAATCCCAAAACGTCGGTCTGGTGAACATAGATCCGTATGGGAGAAGTGAATAATGATAAAATTCATATCGTACGTGTAAGTACACGGTAAATGCTGCAAGTGCTTTTGCCAAAGTTTTTTCGGCTTGGAATAACATTTTCAACAAATAATATTTTCTTATCATTGAATAAAACGATGAATTCAAAGTGTACTTACTGTAATTTTCATTTATTTTGTGTAATTGTAATAATGTATACTTTCGCAGAGTAGGTACACGGCGAGATGCCTGCTGGACACGCACACTGCAGCATCGATACGTAGATCAATAACTGCAAAACGTATGAACTTGAAATTTTGAACTGTGGTTCCTATAATGCTCTGGACGTGCATTGAGAAATGATTTTCCAAAACATCTTACGATATTTTATAATAACATTACAGTGTCCATGATACATCATCGGCGGCGATTCTGTGGCACAAAGCAAACCCGAAACTTGTTGATCCAGTGGCATTCCACTACACACTCAGACTACTCGCTCATTGCATCTGTAAATACTTTTATTTTTACATTAACATTTAACAATATCTTTAGTCTTTGTGTGCAATTAGTAAATGTATTAAAAGTAAAACGACGTTGATATACTTAAAAACAATAAAAATTAACTTGTGGAGTTGGTCTCACTATTATACAACTATACCTATACTACTCGTTAGAAATTCGATTTTTATAAGTATCGAAATTCCATCAAAGTAAGACCGCACAATGCATATCAATACACTTTATGCATAGATTCTTTGTAGGAATGCACTGGAGTTATATTCGTACGCCAATATACGAATACCTTCATGTCAATTTCCAATACGACCGTCGTTGTTTAGAAATGTAGAAAGTAGAATATAGAAACCTGTCGTATTATGTGATGTGCACTATACAATACCTACTATATGTATAGGCACACCAGACTTAAAAACACTTTTTGAAAAAGGT